TTCCTGCTGCTCTGAGCTGTTCCCACTTATTGAAATGAAGCTCTTTTCAAGTTAATAGTGCAATTCGCTCATTAAAGAGTGCCTCAGGATCTGGCCTGGGATTCTTGCTGGCAGCTGAAGGAGTCATTTTCCACCACAAATTAATCTTCAGTGAAAACGGGTGCCAAATCTCCAACTCATTAAATCAGCAACTATTAGTTGCTGGAGCCCAGTAATTTCTATCATCTTAGGAACAAACTGCTAGTCTAGAAAGCTTCATTTTAAACTCCTCTGCAGGAAACTAGTTTGCAACAAGAAGTAGTCCTTATGAACTGATAACAGCTTCCCCAGCTCAAAAAAAGCCCTGAGCTCTTCTTTCTTCATTCACTTCTGAATGTGGTGTAAGGCTTGATGAGAGGACAGGAGTGTGCAGAAGTCAGAGGCAAATATTAACCCCCTCCGTTTTTCTTTCTAATTAGTGTACAAATTGTTTCACAGTGTACCTTAAGGAAGTCCTTCTCCTGGCTGTCACCAGCTGAAATGTTGCACATCCTTCACTAAGATTTAGGATCACTTTGCAGCCTGCTCTTGAAGGTCCCTGGCTGCAGACCAAGGTTAAATGAGCTAAAAAGCAGCCATACATTACATACATACATTAATTGCCTTCTTGTTCCTTGCACATGAAAGCAAACCAAAACCTTTTCTCTCTCTAGACCTGCATACGGGAAGCCTAATGTGAAACCCATCCCACCAAGCCAATACACATAAGCACCTTCTGGCTGCTGGATCATCTCCTGGGAGCTGCCACTGCATAAACCCATCACCTACATTAGCTAGACTCCTACCACTTCTCATGCACTCTACCCTGGCAAATTTTAAAAGATAAGATGGAGCAGAGACACATGGACAGCAAGCAGGCCCTTATTCTGTGAACTGCAGCCCAAAGCACAGCTCCTTCCAAAACCTGAGTCTTTCAAATTAATTCCCTAGGCCAAACATGATGCAGCTTTGTGTTTCAGGAAAAAAAAAAAACAAAACAACCCAGGTCAGTCCTGATGCTGACATATATCAGTGATAAGCTGATGAGAAACAAGGATATGAGCCAGATCTTTGCCCAAGGGTGTGTAATCATTCTTTGTAACATGCAGCCAAAATTTGAATTTGCTGCAAAATTACTTAAAAATAAAAGGCCTCACTTAACAGACCCTCTTTCATGGTGCCACATATCTCTCAGGAGCTTTTCTGTTTAATATAACAAAACACAAGGTTACACTGAGAAAGCGAATATGGATTCAAGGGCCTTACTTTTCAAGATTTTACAGTCCTGGGGGCTAAGGTTCACTGTTTCCCTCTTGCTACCATTGTTTTGTTCCTCTTCCACCAATTTCAGCA